GGGATGGGACAGCTCATCCTGGATGGGACAGCTCATCCAGGGATGGGACAGCTCATCCTGGATGGGACAGCTCATCCTGGATGGGACAGCTCATCCTGGATGGGACAGCTCACCCTGGGGTGGGACAGCTCATCCTGGATGGGACAGCTCATCCTGGATGGGACAGCTCCCCCAGGAGTGGGACACCGTCCCCAAGCCCTCCTGGCCCCCTCAGCCACAACAGGAATAACTGCAGAGCAAAACACACCTGGAATATTTCACACCATGTTTCCAAAAGTGCCTCTAAGCACATCCTGCCTTTGTCCCAGTGCCAAACAGTCCCAGTTGTTGTCTGGGATTTCAAACATTTCATCTAATATATCAGATCAGATGTAGATATCTGATGTATCTACATACTAAGATACTACACATCATCTCCAAAATTCCATTGCTAAAGATTAACTCACATATCATAATTCATTATCCAACAAAGAATTTTTCTGGGCTCTTCTAAAATGTTTCAATATCTTAATTTTGTTTTCCATTTAAGCTTTGGATTTCAACCCGATTTATCTGGGGAGGGAAAAGCAAGCACCCCTCTCCTGCTTGCTGAGCTCCCATGAATGTGTTCTCCTGCAACTGTTCTGGGGCAAAAGCTGTGATTTCTTGTAAATTAGTGATGAATAAAGCTGAGGTTTCTGCAGTATGGATGGATGGGTGCTGTGGTGCTGGGAAAGGGAATTCACCCCACAAACCACTGAGGAAAGGGAGGACCCAGATCTGGGGCTATTCCACACCTGAACATCACATTTTGCTTCATCTCCTGCAGCACCTGGCAGCAGCCACTCCACAGGGAAGGAATAAAAACCCCTGGATGTTGTGTCTCCCATAGATTAAATCCCATTTACAGCAGGGTTGGAGCATCACCCTGAGGAGGAGTTCAGAGTCAGGGAATTCCCAGCAGGGCCGTGGGAAGGGAAATGTCCTTGCCCAGGGCAGGCCAGCACCGGGATCAGAGCCCTTCCCATGGCTCAGGAGCATCCTGACCTGGAAAGCTGAACTCTCCCATGGAGGCACATCTGGAACCAAACCAGGAAACCCCACAGAGCTCCCCCTGCAGCTCCAGCTGTTTGTCCCGTCCCTTTTCTCCATGAGACACAAACAGGGTAAAAAATGCTGAGTTTTGCAGCCCAGATGCCAGCCTGTCCTGCAGGAGCTGCTCCCACCTTCCCCCAGCACTGGTGACATTCCAAGGTCCCTCCCAGCCCTGGGAACCCAAACCTGAGGGGAAGCTGGAGAGGGAAACAGCCCAGAAGGCACCAAACCACGAGGCCACGCCAGGTCTGGGAACTCTCAGCTCTTTTATTTGCCCACGTAAAAGCTGGAAAACCACCTGCAGCAGTTCCTCTCAATAAACACCCCTCTGGATAGCTACAGTACAATATATACACATCAGAACCCCACAGGGAAACCCTGGGAGCTCTGGCCGAAGGTCTCCAAGCAGCAGCAATGCAATCCATGCAATTAAAACTCCATAAATTATTACCCAACATCTGCTGTGAGTCTGTACACAATATACAAAGAGCTCTTGTCCAAATCCATCATTTCCTCACGGAAAAGCCTTCCCACCAGGAGAGCTGCTGCCAGCAAAGGCCAGGGGGCACGGCCTGGGGGGCTCTGCAGGCTCTCTCCTGTGCAAGCACATTTCCTCTGAGCTCCAGTCGTACAAAAATACATGGAAAAATAGATCCAGTACAAATGCCAGGAGGGAATCCAGCCCAGCTCCCCTCCCACGGCTGCCGGAGCTGCAGCCCCCAGCCCGCTCTCTGCAGGAGCCTGCAGCAGTAAGAACACTTTGGGTTTGAAAAAAAAAAAAAAATAATTTAATTACTCTGTTGGTTTGGTTTTTCACAGTCTCTGCTATTGCACAGCTTTGTCAGGTTTTCTTTCAGGGCCCGAAAGAAAGATGCATAGCAATCCCACAGGAACAGCTCTGCCACGGAGGGAACCGGCCCACGGCTCTGCCAGCGGGGAGCAACCAGCACAAAATAAAGGGGAAAAAATAAAGGGAAAAAAAAAAAAGGGCAAAAATAAAAGGAAAAAAAAAAAGGCAAAGAAAAAGGCAAAAAAAATAAAGGGCAAAGAAAAAGGCAAAAAAAATAAAGGGCAAAGGCAAAAAAATAAAGGGAAAAAAGGGGGGAAAAGGGGGAAAACGAGGGGAAAAAAAGGGGGGGAAAAAGGAGGGAAAAAGGAGGGGAAAAAGGAGGAAAAAAAGGAGGGAAAAAAGGGGGGAAAAAAGGGAGGGAAAAAGGAGGGGAAAAAGGAGGGGAAAAAGGAGGGGAAAACCAAAAAGGGAACAAAAAGGGAACAAAAAGGAAAAAAAAGGAA